GTATATATATATATACATATATATATATACATATACATATATATATACATATACATATATATACATATATATACATATATATATATACATATATATATATATACATATATATATATACATACATATATATATATACATACATATATATATATACATATATATATATACATATACATATACATATACATATACATGTATATATATACAATAAGCAATATAAAGTGATAAAATGTCAAAATATAATGAGCGAAAATAATGCGTATCATGTCACATGTGTCATCACTTACATGATTGGCTTATAGGACACCTAAGACTAGCACAAATGATAGGGACGATTTTGCTCTATGCTAGCTCATCTACCACATAGGTCAACACCTAAGTAGAGTTCCAAGTCACCCGCTCCAAAATAACGTCGTAGTGCATCCAGATGTATCCAGCATCAATAACTAGGGCCTATCTTATCAAGATCAGAGATCAGAATAATTAGACAGTTAACCTGATCTTATCCAAAGTTAGCTAATGAGAAGGCCCAAGGATTAAGTATAAAAAAGGACCCATCAGCTCACGCTGAAAGGGGGACTCTCTACATACTAACTCAGTCATACAACTTACACGTTGTCTTCTCCTTTTCGTTGACTTAAGCATTGGAGGAGCCATGTCAGACAACCCCTGCGTTGGCCTATCATGTAAGATTGTCGGTCATCCAAAGATACCCAGAAGATCTAACCCCCAGGTAGGAATTTTACAACCAGGAAGATTTCAGTCCATCTACCCGGCCATCCTGAACTAAGTCCTCACCAACATAATGACTTCTGATCATACAGCTTGTATATTCTCAGCCAACCAAGTCTCTCACATTAGTCAAAAAAAAAAAAAAAAAGACACTTGAATAAACCTATACCTTTGATAAAAAAAATCAATCAGACTGACTATCAGAGTACACACGACACCATCAACCACCGATCATTTTCATTTAAGTCAGCTGTTTTGCCGGTTTTCTCCCAGCTGCAAAAGATGAGACCAAAATATCTTAATTCTCGGATGCAATGACTGTCCCCTTTATTTCTCCCGCTCAATGATTATTAATGCAAGCCCACTTACAACTGCTAGCCTTAGTGGGAACAGTGAGCAGGTTTAAGTAGATAGATTGCAACTCCACTTGCATGAGCTTGTGGAAAATTTTGGAGACATTTGATGATTTTGGCATCGAGTAAAACGTGTTTTGAGTGTTACCCCCAGTTTTCAATGCTCTTGAAAGTCATTGCCGTGAAACTTCTCTATCGTTCTCGGTCATCTGCAGGGATTTCCATCAGTGTGATAGGCATGGTTGGAGAAGGGAGTGGCCCTGTCGGTTGGAATTTTTACTCCGCTCTGATGCTAGAGAGGCTTTTGTAATGCTTCCGATTAGTTAATATATATTTTCTCCTCTACATCTTTGTCTTACAGTTTGACACCTAAAGCTGTTGATCAACCAAAAAGAGACAACTCTGCTATCTTTTTCATGCACTGATTCTACTTTTCCTCCAAGAGACAAAAACACACTTTTTAAGTGTACAAATTTGACGGCATTGCGAGTGGCCTTCATTTAGCCAGTCAGTCAAGCAGTGGTTTGATACCATCTATTTCCTTTTCTTAATTGATAAAAGAATAGTTCGTTCTATGTGCTATAGCTTTGCTGTAGTTTCGAAGACAAGTTTGACATTGCTCTCAATTGTTCAGTTGCGTACGACGTTAAGCATAATTCACAAGGGAATACGGATATATCTGTTCACTCACATTATGATTCTGCTGGAAAATCCTACACATCGTAATGAAACAATGAGAATATAGTCAAACTCTTCACCTCCTATTATTCAACCCTGACAACTTTTTCTCAAATCTTTAAAAAACTTGAGACCGATACTTCCATATTATTCTCTTTGTTATCTTGCGCGAATTGAAATTTTCATTTCTTCAAGATTTGTTTGGCTCTAACACTCCTTGTGATGAGAATTGATTTTACTATTTATGAACAATTGAAATTTTCATTTCTTCAAAATTTTCATTTCTTCAAGAAATTTTCATTTCTTAAAGAAGAGGTATATATTCAACAACCCCTTGGTTTTACTATTTATGAACAAGAAGATAAAGTATACAAGTTAAAGAGAGTTCTTTATGGGCTTAAACAAGCCCCACGAGCATGAAATTCTTGAATAGATGCTTATTTTATTCAAAATAATTTTTCTAAATATCAATATGAACATGCTCTCTATATAAAATCTAATTCTAATGGAGATATCTTATTTGTATGTCTATATGTAGATGATTTAATATTTACAGGCAATAGTAGCTCTATGATTAAAGACTTTAAGCAGTCTATGAAAAAGGAGTTTGAGATGACCGACTTAGGCTTAATGACTTATTTCCTCGGTATTGAAGTTATACAAGATAATAGAGGAATTTTTATCTCACAAAAAAATTATGCAAATGAGGTTTTAAAAAAATTTTCTATGGAAGATTGTCATTCTACAGATACACCTGTTGAATATGGCACCAAGTTGACCAAGAAAGGTGAAGGTAAATACATTAATCTAACTTATTATGAAAGTCTAATTGGATGTTTAAGGTATTTGACATACACTCGACTTGATATACTATTTGGAATTGGTTTAATAAGTAGATATATGGAAGTTCCTAAGATATCTCATTTAAATATCGTTAAAAGAATTTTGTGATATATTAAAGGAATAATTGAGTATGGAATATTCTATTCATCATCTAAAAGGTTAGAGCTTATTGGATATAATGACAATGATTGGGCCAAAAGCTACGATGATCAGAAGAGTACAACTGGATTTGTATTTTATTTTGGTGAAGTTATATTCACTTGGTCTTCAAAAAAGTAGCGGATCGTTGCTCTATCAAATTGTGAAGCAAAATATATAGTAACTTCTTCTAGTGCTTGTCATGCAATCTGGCTAAGAAGATTACTCTAAGAACTTCATATGTCATAGGAGAAGTCAACCAAGATTTATGTTGATAATAAATTAGCTATTGCCTTATCCAAGAATCCAATTGAAAGATCGAAGTATATCGACACAAAATTTCATTTCATAAGAGATTATATCAAAAATAAAAAATGGAGCTATATCATGGCAAGACAAGTGAACAAGTAGTCGATATACTTACAAAACCTCTTAAATTTAAAATATTTTAACATTTCGAAAGAAACTTAGCATATTAGATGAAATAAGTTTAGGGGGGAGAATGTTGGAATTATACATGTTCAATTGTCATAAAGAGATTCATTTCATTAAAAGAAAGATTCATTGCATCAAGAAGGAGATTCATTATATCAAGAAGAAAATATTAATTAAAAGTCTATATAAGGATAAGTCAAATTGACTATTGATTCTTGGAACAAAATGATTCATCTTGAATACAATTAATATAATGTATCTTTGGGACTATATAAATCTCGTATATTTGAGTTTTTAAAATTATAAAAATATTTTAGAAATATAGAAAAAAAAAAAAAAAGCTTGTCCTCACTCTTCCTTTATTTGATAACTCTATCCCTTATTTCTATAAGATCAACACTCCTCACATCCCCTTTCTTTGTCGTCATCCAAAAGCTGCAAACAGACGATGGTGGTGTCGGAGGTCGCCCTGCCGGTTCTAAAGCCCCAGCCGCACACTCCCATATCCTCGGCCTTCGTAGAGACCAAGTGCATTCTAGGCCTGGCCTTGCCTACAGCCCTCACCGGCCTCCTCCTCTATTCCCGTTCCATGATCTCCATGCTCTTTCTTGGTCGCCTCGGCGACCTCCCTCTTGCCGGAGGCGCCCTCGCCATTGGCTTCGCTAACATCACCGGCTACTCTGTCCTCTCCGGGCTCGCCATGGGCATGGAGCCCATATGTGGTCAGGCCTTCGGCGCGCGGCGCCACCACCTCCTCGGCCTGGCGTTCCATCGCACCATCCTCCTCCTCCTCTGCACTTCCCTCCCCATAGCGCTCCTCTGGTACTGCATCCACCCCATCCTCCTCCTCCTCGGCCAACGCCCGGCGCTCGCCGCCGCCGCCAGTGTCTACCTCCAAGCCTCCCTTCCCGACCTCTTCCTCCAGTCCTTCCTCCACCCTCTTCGCATTTACCTCCGCACTCAGTGCATCACGCTCCCTCTTACCGCATGCGCAGCGTTATCCATCGCCCTCCACCTGCCCATTAACTACCTCCTGGTCTCCGTTCTCCGGCTCGGCATTGGCGGCGTAGCTCTGGCCTCTGTTTGGACTAACCTCAATCTCGTAGTCTTCCTCGTAGCTTATATCTACCTGTCGGGCCTCCACCGCAACACTAGCGGGCTCTCCTTCTCCGCCGAGTGCTTCAAAGGCTGGAGGTCACTCCTCAACCTGGCCGTCCCCAGCTGCGTCTCGGTGTGCCTGGAGTGGTGGTGGTACGAGATCATGATCATCCTCTGCGGCCTTCTCCTGAACCCACAGGCCACCGTTGCCTCCATGGGCATTCTCATCCAGACCATGTCCCTCATCTACATCTTCCCATCCTCGCTCAGCTTCGGCGTGTCGACTCGGGTGGCCAACGAGCTCGGTGCAAACCGGCCCGACCGAGCCCGGCGAGCCGCCACCGTCGGACTGTCATGCAGCTTCGTGCTCGGTCTCATTGCCTTGGGCTTTGCCGTCTCGGTGCGCCATGTGTGGGCTACGATGTTCACGGCCGACTCGGCAATCCTCGGGCTCACCTCGTCGGTGCTGCCCATCCTTGGCATGTGCGAGCTCGGGAACTGCCCTCAGACCACCGGATGCGGGGTGCTGAGAGGCAGCGCCCGGCCGACAGTCGGGGCCAACATAAACTTGGGCTCCTTCTACGCCATCGGGATGCCGGTGGCCGTCGGGTTTGCATTTTGCACCGGGCTCGACTTCAAGGGACTCTGGCTGGGGCTGCTCTCGGCGCAGGCCACATGCGTCGTGCTAATGATCACGGTCATCAGGAGGACTGATTGGGAAGCGCAGGCCGAGCGAGCGCATCAGCTCACCGGCGCCCCCAGTGATGACAGTGGTGCAATCGTCGGATGCGGTGGCAACCAAAAGGACGGTGCGTCGCCGCCACCGAAAGACGTCGAGGTGGACGGAGATGAGACCGATAGGTTGATTGTAAAGATTGAGCAAACCAAGTTTGTAGCATAAAGCATTCTTTACATTTTGCTTCCTTTTAACACTTCCGTTTACAGTTATACGTACGACAAATACAACTACTGGTTGTCTTTTTATTTCCTTTTTTTGTGTTCTGTAACGAAGGTGTGGTTACTGAGAAAAGCAAAGACAAATTTCTTCGCTCTCCTCTCTTCTCATCTCCTCTATTCCATGATCGAATACATCGAAACAGACGGCCGGCGCCATAAGTTTCCTGTGTCACCGGGAATCCAACATGACGGTTTCCAGCTCCGACACGGAGCACACGAGCAACGCGGCTCAATTTGGGCTTCAGGCGATGGGACCCGCATTTTGTACGGCCTCATCCGTTGACTTGATAAGAAAATAGAAAATAATGTTCGCCTCAATTTGGTTCGTCATAGGATTCCCCACTTTGGATAGAAATTATAATGCAAATTCGATACAAGGAATCATATGTAGACATACATAGGATCTGTACCAAGGTTCCCATTAAAATCGTCCCTCCATAAGTCAATATTAATCTTAATCAGTTCATTATTTTATATAAAAATAAAATATTACAACATCAATAACTCATAATAACAAAATATTAACTTTTATCATTATGTTATTAGTCTGACGATGATATACAAAACCCATTTATCAAAAGTTGAGGAAGTCAACTTTTCCATTCTATCAATTATAATTATAAAATAAATTATATATTCTATATATAATTACCTCTATCAAGGCCTTAGCCTTCAGTAACGTTATTTATTTATTTATTTTATTATTATTAGTATTTTATATATATATATATATATATTGCTGCAATTCGCAGCTCTCAGACGCACCTCTGGAACATCAAAGAGGCCAACATGCGGTTTCTTTTGTGTGCTGAAAACTCTGCTGAGGAAGCTTCTATTTGATTAAGGTTGAAGCAGTGCAACGAGACCACTTAATTACTAATACCAAAGTCAATCATCCCTTTTATTGGGTTGATGTCTCCTAATAAACTTCCTTTGACAATGAAGTCAGCTCTTTAGAAATGTTCTCAAACACTATTAATTTTCTTGTTAATATAAGGCATTCAACGCCATAAAAGTATTCGCTTTATGCGTGCATACGGTTTGTGCAGCATCCATCGGAATCATCTAACGTATCGCTGCGTCTGCTCTTGATAATTCTGTACATTTACGTATGATGCGGAATCTCGAATCAGAACGACTACTTTTGTAAGTGAAGTCGTCTCCATCCTCAGAATGAAGAGTCATTACCGAGTCCCGACGGTTTTGATCGCTACCTGAATTCCAAGTATTATGTTCTCTTCCTGGGGTTGCTCGGTGGAGTGATGCATGACATGTAATCCGACTCCTCTTATGAGAAGATACAAGCATTTCTTCAACGCAAGTTAACAAATCATTGCCAAAGTCAGATATCTATCCTGCCTCAATTTCTTGCACTGGCTTCCTCGACAGGTTCAACGGCGGCCATTCTTCAACTTTTGCGTAGATATATACTTCCTCTATGCTATAATAATCTGATACCAAGTCGCTTCTTGCATGCTGCACAGCGTCGATCTGACATCTACTGACGGGTGCTGATTATTCTAGCAAGATTCATCTCGTCGCGTTGATCTTAATATGGATGTAGTCCAAATCATGACACGTTCTAAGCTTTGTTTTGGAATTAAGATGCATCCTCACCATCTCTCTCGTCCAGCCTTCAAGTTTCCACGCTGCTGCATATGTAACGCGTTTCCCTGACAATTCTTAGACCGTTTATTAATAATCGGCTAGATGATGGCTAAAGCACGCTCAGTATATTCGATGAATATTACGCGTTCAGCTTGGCGATGAATCTGTCGCTTCCCATGAGTGCGTACTGAAACAAAAACAAGTAAAAGGACGTGGAATTCGAAGAAGTTGCTTGTCGATTCCTTTGCGTTTGCCATTCCATTGCTATAACAACAAGTATGAGCAACTGGTAGAAGAAGGAGAACATGGTAATATAATTTCAGAGCTAGAGTTGTAGAGCTGCAAATGATGGCCGTTTCTTGCAGAATCAGCGTGTCGAGAGATGTTGCTGTAGCCCACACTTAGGACTCCCTGTGCAGGAAGGTTCAGGTGTTGATAGGTTGGAGGAAGCTGCTCCTCAACGATGCTCCGACCATCTTTGCACGTTGACCTTAGCCTGCAAAATTTCTGGACTCCGACGTATCTTGCCATTTAACGAGACCAGATGCTCCTGTGCACGAAGATAATCTCTCTGACATGACAAGCTCCATCGAGCTGACGTTTTTATTCCTCAGCTGATGTCCGTAGAATTTTCTTCCCTCTGAGGTGAGTACTCTCTAAGCGTCGCCATGTCGTTTGGAGCGAAAACATGTTCTTAGTGCAAGTTGAAATGTAGCACCCGGAGCAACTTCATGAGGGGGCTTGCCGATTATTGGAAGCAAGCAGATGGGTTTTGACTGTTGTTCACCTATGAGATAATATATCCTAGAAGCAGTCTTTTTTGCTCGAACTGCCACCATTTACCACCAGACAATCATCTTGCAAGCCTACATGTAAAGCCTACATTGAGGAAAATCTATGTAGATAGAAGAGAATCAAGAGGATGGAAGGAGAATGGCACTTTCAAGCTTAGATGTAAACCTAAAATAACGCACCTCTCTCTGCATTGTGTCCATGTGGAGAAGTTTCACAACTCAGGTAATTCACGAAGCTCAAGACAGAGCATATATTTGATTGCAGCTTACTCAGTGTTCTTCATTGTGGATATCGAAGAGAATGCTGCATTGGACTATATATAGTTGTTTCGCGTCCCAACCGGTAAAGGATAAGCCAAGACAATCCCACAAATTTTAGTCAACAACACAAAACAAACTATACAACTGCAGCCTCTCGTATTCTTTGGTCGACAGCAACTGAGGTCTAAAATTAGTGGATCTACTCCTTACGAAGACAATGTTGCAGATCATCAAATGCAGCAGAGTTCATTTGCAAAGATGGAATCGAGTCGTTGGAATAAGATATAAACCTGGATGTGAGATCTCGGGGTGAACATGCAGCTGACTTTTTCATGAGAAAATAATACATGGCTGACCTTTAGCTGGTTGAGTAAATATATAGTTGACTTAGAGATCAAGTGGGGCTGCTGACTTCCAATTTCAGTTTCCAAGGGATGAACATACAACTTACTTTTACTCGAAGCTCAACCCCTAACATGCCGCCAGGCCATTTGTTGGAGTATATATAGAGTTGACTTTTTTGGGAGACTAGATTCATCTCTGAAGCTAACCATTGTCACCTGCCAGAAAATGTTGATGCATTGGACTTATTGTGCCGGTTTTATTAGTTAGGTGACTATCCCATATTGAGAGCTGGCATCGCAATAAAGCAATAAAGTCGGTAGAAATACTTATACACAAGACTGTTCCTCTTAGTTTGATACAAAAGAGATTAGAAGAGGAAGAGATGCCATGTGTATGCTAATTGGGTCTAGAGGTCTGTAGGCCACTAAATTGGGTTCTGGCGGATCAAAAGTTACGGACTAACAATGTGGTTCTTCTCTCTATTTAAATAGGGTTCAGGACATTTAGATTGTGGAATCATTTTTGCCAATAAAAAGGATTGACAACACTCAAGACTTGGGTTTAGAATGTTATCATCAGTTTTGATTGCTCTTGACAAGACGTTGGAAGCTCACTTGACCAAGTTTATGGCAGCAACACAGTGGTTTTATTTCCTGGGGGAATGGCACATGATCTTGTAAGAACCAATGGTGGCAAAGTGAAGCCAAGCTGAAACCTAAATGAAAGCATGAGAACACCGATAAACCGCAGTCCATGTGACAGACAACCTGATCTTGAACTTGCGGCCATGGTGCAATGAACCAGAAACTGGTGCTTTCAGGTTGGTCGTGTTCGTTTGGGTGTGGATTCAGTGGAATGAATACATGCTAAATTTCCATGAGACGACCAACCTGACAGACAACCTGAATACATGCTAAATTTTCCTTCCACTTTCTGTGTCCTCTTGAGAAGTTCCTACGTGCTCATACATAGCTAAAAATCATCTGCAGCCGCGAAATAGATCAAGTTGCTGTTTACGCCATTTGGTGGGTTGTTCTGCATCAGTGTGATAAGCATGGCGAACTTAATTTCTCTTCTGCAGCTTTGTCTGGAACACACTGCTAGCTATAGCTAGCAAAGCAGAATAGTTTGAAACCTAATGTTGCTGATCAACCAAAAAGAGACAACCCCTGCAATCTTTTTCCTGCGCAGATTCTACCTATCCTAGTAAGAGACAAGCTACACTTTAAATTAATGTATAAAATTATGGTGTTGCAAGTGGGTCAAGCAGTGGATTCAGACCATCTATTTTCCTCCAATGAAGAAGAATACAGCCCAATGTGCTAAATTTATTAATCCTCTATGCTGTAATTTTAAAGACAAGTTTGACAAATACTGTTAAAATTTAAAGTATATCTTTCGAAATATTTTTAAAATTTATTATCTTATCTCTTACATAAGGTGATTAGATAAAGTTTCAAAGATAAGAGTCTTTTAGTCTAAATTGTAATTCTAGATGGCATCCATCCAAGTCGAAGTATTTAGGTCTTTGGGCTCTAAGTCCAAGAGTAACTCAAGACCTTGTAAGATTTTTTTTTTTTTGAAGAAGAAGATAATTTTTTTTTTTTTTTGGCTTAGTTTATTCTTCTTGTATTTGGTTTGATCTTGGGCTAGTAATATTTTGTTATTATTATATGAGAAAGGGTTGTATTAAATAGAAAATATTTTGTTATTATTATATGAGAAAGGATTGTATTAAATAGAAAGAGATGGAGGACATTAAATGCAAAACTTGAATTTGTGTTAAATAGATCTATTTCTCGTCTGTTTGAACATATTATTAGTTACAAATCAATCATACAAATTTGGATCACTTTTAATAGATTGCTCAACAAAAAAAATTATGATATCTGAAGAATGATTAGAAAAATAGTGATGTCTCAATTTTCCAATACTT